AAGGCTGTCAAGCCTAGGCACGGTGTCATTGACCTATCCGAATAAGGAACCGGTCGTTTCAAATGACCGCCAAGCTTCTTTTCATGCAATTGTTAGAGCTGTATCTGTAGGAATAGAATCGTGTGTTCATAGTGGGAGAGTCTGCGTTGGTGGCCGTGCTGCATCGAAAATGGAGGTTTGACAGACCTGTAAACATACTATCCACTCGCAGTTGCAGAAACTAATCACAAGTATCAGTAGTTTGTAAATAGAGGAATATATATGATACAGTAATAAGCAACAATGAACTCGACACGGTGAATAAACCAGGTAAAATAAGAGTCCATCAAGAGCCATTGGCTTGTGCCTCACTGGCTAAGGCAGAGAAGGCGCTAACTAGGTTATCTATCGACCCGAGAATACTTTGCTGCTGGGTAACGGCTGGTGAAAATGTTGTTGCTTCCACAGCACCTAGAGAAAAATCGTCAGGTTTGCAAGCCTGAGCTCCACAGTGAAAGTCACTAACCATTAGATGCAAGGACATTAATATCGGTTCTCGCTGTGATTTATAGTTCAGCATCCGCTCACATGGGGGATAAGTATACTTACTCAGACCAGAGAGCACGTCGTTGATTGTTAGACTGCGCAGTGTTTGTTTCATCGCTAGTGGTGTCATAGGTCCATTTAATCCAAGGAAATAGGCGACCAGACCAGTGATAAATGGTGCAGCCATGCTAGTACCATCTAATGTTCTGACCGCATCGTCACCTGTAACGCCCAAAGATATGATGCCGACTCCAGGAGCCCAGATATCAACGTCTTCCCCGAAATTGGAAAAAGTCGCCTTTCTATCATTGATGTCGATCGCTCCTACGGTGATGACTGATTCTGAACGCCCCGGAGAGTCTGCGCTTGCGTCAACATTGTCATTTCCAGCAGCGGCTACGACATGGACGCCAAACGAAACAGCCGTAGATACTGCCTCATCTAGAGCTCGGGACCCTGGCGTGGTTAGAGAGAGGTTGATTACGGATGGTCGACTGTTGTCCGCGACGGTTCTGATGACAAAGTTGATTCCAGCAATGATATCTGACGATCTCCCGGCTCCTTGATCATCCATAACTTTAACGGCAATGACATTGGCTTTCTTTGCTACTCCGAATTGGGAACTCGCGGCAATACCCGCAACATGGGTTCCTAGATTGTACCGTTAGTTGCCTATCAATCGTCCAGAGATATCAACCATACCGTGGCCTTGGACATCAACTCCTTCTGCACCAGAACTGAAAGTTTGTGAAAAGCTAGCACGTCCGTTAAACTGATTGTGAGACACTCTGACACCCTAGACCAAAGGTTATTACTCATGCACACGAGATGTTACCAAAGAAGGGTACTGACTGTGTCCAAAATGTAAATGTCCACTATAAAATGCCAATCAGCCAAAATTGGAAAGAAACGGATGATATGCATTACCTCCTTCTCCAGCAGAATCGTCAAATGTATAAGTGAAGTCCGTTCGGGTAGGATTCGTGTTTTGTAGCTTGTCCTTTTGGCTGATCCGAGCTAGTCCCCATGGTGCATTAGTCCTATGATAAGTCAGCAATCTACAAGTCCCGATTGTGAACTATGCATACTGTGAGGTGATTGTAGTGATGGTTGCTTTCACATCTGGCGTCGCCCATTGTTCAACATCTAACGTGACAGCCGAATGACTATATTTGTACGTACCTGGAACAGCATATACGCAATCTCCAGAGGTCATAAATGCGTTAACGGCCTCAGTACTAATATTTCCTGCAAATCCATCGAAAAAAGAGCTTTCCCAACCGATCTGTAGAGGGTAGACATTTCTCGGGGTGAGCGGAGGACTCGGGCGGCAACCGATGATGTGCGCATACCTTCAGTGAGGAAACTTGTGCATCTGTAAGAGGAGGTAAAGATGCTTTTCGTAGTTGGTTGTCGATCCATGTTCGTCTGTTCTCTGGCTTAACCTGGCCAGGATGCCATTTTATAATGTAGCCATCCGTCGAGGGCTCGACCTGAGCCGCCACACTCCACAGAAGAGATAATGCAACCAGAAGATAAGATGAAAGCATGTCGAGCTGAGAGCGTCAAGAGAATGATTATTCCAAGGAGTGATGCGAACTTGGTCGAAGGAGAAGGTATATGTGGACTGGATGAGTCCCGGGAGAGTGTCCGTGTAAAGGAATGTCTTGAGAAATATTCTTAAATAAAAAGAAGTATGTAGAATGTAAAGGCGCCAGGCGGTGTCCGTGTCGGTCAAGATGGCCAAGTTCAAGGTGTATGTATACCTCGCCTCAACGCTGCCTCACCATTCTGAATTCTTGTGCGGTAACATGGCTATGAGGAATTAGCCACAACTCACACAACAATAGGAATGTATATGATACTGAGAGGAAAATTGGGCCCCATTATCAATGGATTGCTTACATTTCGAGCACAAGTTTAGGTTCACCAACGGAAATCTTAGCCAAAGACAAGGCCACGGCAACTCAAATTAGCACTTTCTATGTTATAATTGTCCTTGAATTCCGCACAGATGATACTATAGAAGGGGAAAGAGTAAGTGACATAACCTTCGAACGCTCGAATAAATCATGGCCTCCCCCCTCCCCCACTACATGAGAGAATATGAAAATTGTGTTTTACATCTTGGATATGCCACCGAGATGATCATTAACTACCTGGATATCATTCGCTTATCGTCGAAGTCAAGACCGTCGACTCCTGAGGTATCGTCTCTGTCTCCAACACACTCGACTCGGACTCGGTTTCCGAAGAACGACTTGGCTTTTCGACCACTTCATGACCAGTTCGACCCGGGGATAGAGGAACACTTGAATACACGTATTCATCACCACCCAGCAAGGCTAATGCAGTTTCCTCCCACCACTCGTTCTTCTTGATGAAATGAACTAGAATCGTTCCTCCTAATTTCTTGCCCTCGTATCGCGCTTTCCGTCCTTCGCGTTCTAGCCATGCCCTGTTTACTGCTCGCTGTAATGCAACACCAGGCTCGAGCGACGGATCCTCCAACAGATTACTTGAAGCTACTCTAGACATGGCAGAACCTTCGACAAGAGCCTC